TATCTGTTACCAGGTGTGTCCATTTCTGCAGGTAACCTGGCGTTTGTTTACCTGTTTATTTCTTCCCTAAATAGAATTTAAGGTCCACAAGGGCAGCACCTTGTCTGGCTCGTTCACTCTGGATCCCCAGCACCTAGCACCAGTGCACACAGTACATGCCCAATAAGTATTTGGATGAGTGAAAGAAGAAATGAATATAACGGAAATTATTTTATTTTCTTTGAAACGTATAACTGAAGGCTGGGTGTGATAGCTCAGCCTGTAATCCCAGATTTTTGGGAGGCCAGTGTGGGAGGATTGCTTGAGCCCAGTAATTCGAGACCAGCCTTGGCACATGGCAAAGCCCCAACTCTACAAAAAATACAAAAAAAAAAAAAAAAAAAAAAGGCTGGGTGTCATATGTCGTAGTCTCAGCTACTTTGGGAGGTTGAGGCAGGAGAATTACTTGAAACTGGGAGGTTGAGGCTGCAGTGAGTCATGACTGCAACTGCACTGTAGCCTGGGCAACAGAGAAAGATCCTGTCCCCTTCCCGCCCCGCCCCCCCCCTGCAAAAAAAGGATTGCATAATTGTACAATAAAAATCTTCATGGCTTTCACTTGTTTGTAAAATCGGGGTGATTTTTCTCGTCCAACATCATCATTATGCAGGGGTTTCATTCTATATCTTGGGCATCGAGTGCCATTAAACTATTGTGGCCAGTGAAGAATCACTTATTTATCCTTGCTTTGGGGGAGTTTGTCTTCAGAACCTAAGTTTAGATTTTATTTAGAGTGTTTCTGTACTGACTTAACACCATAACTGGTTATGTTTTTTAGTATTTAAGAAGCACTCTTGTTCCATCCAGAGTTAACATTACCTTTAAAGGTTTTTTTTATTCAAAATGAGTGCTAGTTTGATATTTGTATCAAGTTTTATCAAATCAGTATTAACAATTTATAAAAAGAAAATCAGATTTTAAAAATCTTAAGTCAAATGCAAGATTTAAAGTTAACTTGCAAATAAAACCTGAAAGGGCATATCATGTATCTGGTTTTTTACTTCTGAGATAGGACTCCAGGAAAGACCTACGGTTTCTGATATTATCCTACCTTTTTTTTTTTTTAATGGAGTTTTGCTCTTGTTGCCCAGGCTGGAGTGCAGTGGTGCAATCTTGGTTCACTGCAACCTCCACCTCCTGGGTTCAAGCGATTCTCCTGCCTCAGCCTCTTGAGTAGCTGGGACCACAGGCGTGTGCCACCACACCCAGCTAATTTTTTGTATTTTCAGTAGAGACAGGGGTTTCAGCCTGGTCTCGAACTCTTGACCTCATGATTTGCTCACCTCGGCCTCCCAAAGTGCTGAGATTACAGGCGTGAGCTACCATGCCCAGCCCTACATTTAAAAAATACATTCCCAGTATATTTCTTAATGCATATCCTGGTGAAATTCGTGAAGAAAAAAACGTTTCAATCTATATTATTTGAGTGAATAAATAGCACAACTTACATCTATGGCTTTCAAATGGGGACAGTTGTGTCCCAGGGGACGTTTGGCAATGGCTGTGACTGTGTTTTTGGTAGCCATACCTGGGGTGGAGGAGTACTAGCAGCATCTAGTGGGTGGATCCCAGGGGTACTGTTATATAATGCATAGAACACCCCACAACACAAAGAATTATGTAACCCAAAATGTCAGTGGTCCACTGTTAAGAGACCCTGGCTTAAGCAAAGAGAAGTCTCCTTCTGCAAATACTAATGCCACTGGAAAATGAATACTTTGCCCTACCTTTTGGAAAAGAGAATATATAGAAATTGGCAACTGAGAGATTCAGATGGGTATATTGGCACTTTTAGATATGTTCATTTTAGATGATTATTTTTAATCAGAAATCTAGTGACTGGCCTCCCTCTTTGGGGTAAATCACTCCCTCAACACAGGACATTTAAGACATATGGCAGCTTAGTTGATTTTAGAATTGGATAACATTCTCAAATAATTTTACATTTTTTAAAATAGGGAAATTCAAATATAGGGTTACTGGTTTTCCTTATTTTACAGATGGGGTCGAAAATTTGGTCTTTTTGATTCTGTTTTTGGAAAGGATGGTGTATTAAACCAGCCAAACAGTGTCTTAGGACTTATATTTTATATACTACAGTTATTACTTGGTATTTATCAATACAAAAAATAAGTTTGTTATATTCCGTTTAGTACTTTGTGTCTTTGCCTTGAAGTGTCTTGATGTTAAATAAAAGCATGTGTTATAGAGCCACTAGCGTGTACAACATTTTTGTGTTGTGAAAACTTGATTCACTAAAATTTTTTTATATTAATGTTGAATTTATGTCACTTGCTGTTTAATCATGAAAAGCTGTATCTCATGATGTCCAGAAAAACCAGTCCCATTCCAGAAATTATCACTCCCATCTTCCCTGTAAATGTGTTTCCTTATTTTATAGACTGTGTAGCCTTGAAAAATATCACATATTGAGGGGACATTAACAAGAAACCATATTCATAATCCCATCACCTTTACATATCCACTATTTCTACAGTCTTCTGCTTTTAAAAATAATTTTGGGGCTGGGCACGGTGGCTCACGCCTGTAATCCCAGCACTTTCGGAGGCCAAGGTGGGCAGATTACTTGAGGTTGGGAGTTCGAGACCAGCCTGGCCAACATGGTGAAAGTCTGTATCTACTAAAAATACAAAATTAGCCGGGCGTGATGGCAAGTGCCTCTTATCCCAGCTACTCGGGAGGCTGAGGCCAGAGAATCCCTTGAACCCGGGAGACAGAGGTTTTAGTGAGCTGAGATCGCACCATTGCACTCCAGCCTGGACAACAAGAGCAAAACTCCATCTCAAAAAATATATATAAATAATAATAATAATAATAATAATAATAATAATTTGGGGCCAGGTGCGGTGGCTCACGCCTGTAATCCTAGTACTTTGGGAGGCTGAGAAGGGCAGATCACTTGAGTCCGGGAGTTCAAGACAAGCCTGAGCAACATGGCGAGACTCCGTCTCTACAGAAAATACAAAAAGTAGCTGGGTGTGGTGGCACACACCTATAGTCCCAGCTACTTGAAAGGCTGAGGTAAGAGAATCACTTGAGCCCAAGAGATGGAGGCTGCAGGGAGCCAAGATCACACCACTGCACTCCAGCCTGGGAGACAGACCAAGACCTGTCTCAAAAACTAATATTAATTTAATGTGAACTGTGTTTCAACATAGTGTTGTTTATCCAGTTACTGTTAACATCTAGGTTTCACACCTTTGACTTTTTTTTGAGACAGAGTCTCGCTCTGTCGCCCAGGCTGGAGTGCAGTGGCATGATCTTAGCTCACACTGCAAGCTCTGCCTCCCGGGTTCACACCATTCTTCTGCCTCAGCCCCCCTAGTAGCTGGGACTACAGGCACCCGCCAACATGCCCGGCTAATTTTTTGTATTTTTAGTAGAGACGGGGTCTCACTGTGTTAGCCAGGATGGTCTTGATCTCCTGACCTCGTGATCCACGCACCTCGGCCTCCCAAAGTGCTGGGGTTACAGGCGTGAGCCACCGCGCCCGGCCCACACCTTTTACTTCTAAATAATGCTGCAGTGATCAACTTTGTTTAAAGACCTTCTGCTCTTTCCTTCTTTGAATTATCTCCACAAAATAAATTTCCAGGCATAGGATCAAAAAACACAGATTTTTCTATTTTAATTGGTGTTACCAAGTTGCTTTTCTCTCAGTTCTTTGGTTTCCCTGAAGTTCCAGCAGTCTTCATTTCTAAAAAGTGTTTTGTAAAATTTGTTTTTTTTTTATTGTAATGATAATCTTAACCTGGAAAAATTGCTAATAGCTACACATTAGTACCTATTACATTAAATTTTAGTCTTTTTAATTTCCTTTTATTGCCCATTTAGTTATTGGGATCCCGACAGTAGTATGTTTTTATATGTGTTACAAACATTTAGCGCATTCTTTATCCTTTTTGTTAGTGTTATGAATTTGTATTGTATTAAATTTTTAGAGTTAAATCCATCCATTGTTGTCTTTGCATTTTATTTTTCTCCTTTTTTAAAGATCTTGTTGCATACCAATGTCTTTGTATTTTAATTATTAATATTCCATTATCTGTCAGCTCTTCTAATTTGGTTAATTAAAAATACATGTAACTCTTCTATCTGAAATTGATTTGTTATAAGGCAAATTGTAAATCTAAATCATTGTCAGTTGTTCTGTCGAGTTTCCCCAGTTCCATATCTGTTTATCTTGCAGAAGTACAAAGATGTGTGGACAAGGATATTCATAGCAGTACAGTGTGAAATAGCAAAAAAAAAAAAAAAGTAGCTTAGAAATAGGT